TCAAACCGAACATTCTCGGCAAACTATCTGGTTTGTTGTTTTGATATTACTTGTAAAGGAATATTATGTAATTGCTGATTAGAGACACTAAATTTATAGCTAACTGTAACATCTCCGACATTGCTGAATAATTTTTCTTGCTTTTAAATGTCAGTGTGTGCATTCTGTAATAATTTAACTTGCTTGTTAATTGAAATCTTTTCAGTTAAAACGGAAAGAGTTACAATGGAAACGATCCACACCTTATACGAATTCGATGTTCTCAATGCATCGTGCTATGCGACTGGTGGTAGACCTCCAACATCTTTTGAATGGAATTTGCTTGATGATTTCTACAACAGCTCCTACGAAGATGTCGAAAATATCATTCCGACTGATACTTACAATGTAAACTCAGTTTTGAGACTGGAGGTGCACAGGTCTTTTGATAAACGTAAACTTACTTGCAGAGCTTTTGACAGCATTGATAATGATGGAATGACCAGAAGCCAAACTATTGAGGTTTATTGTGAGTATATTTCATCAATAAAAGATTTTTTTTGCTCCAAAAATATCTTCCACATCTCCCTTATTGTAAATTATGATATAAGACCATTTTGATAGAAATTTATGTTATAAATGTTGATGTTTTATTATTCATCGATGTGAATAACTTTGTGAAATTAAACACTTTGTCTTAAATATAATGTGTTTTTGAAATGTTGGTACTTAGAAATGAAAAGTCCACAATTTGGAAGCTAAAATCATCCCTTTTGTCGTAAAGTTATGTTCTCAACCGACTTTCATTTTCAATTTTGAGATGGAAGTCAAGATATAAGGTAGACTTAACTGTATATGTGGTATCCTTTATTTTAAGTTTGATGGGATAGATGCGTTCAACATAGTCATCAAAATTTTGACTTAACTATTGAGAGGACATCATTCATATAGCGGAAAGTTCAGATAACAAATAATGCTAGATTTTATTCATTCTTCTTGAAGCTCCTGTATGAAGTCTATCTCATATGAACAAAAAGAGACAAGTCGGAACGAAGAGCGGCATAATTTGTTTCCATAGGAATACCAAATGTTTGTTGAAAAACACTTCCTTCTAACGTAACACATATGTTGTCAATCTAAAAATCAAGCATGTTAAGTTTGTATCGTTTCAATCGGAGTACATTTTTAAAACATATGATTTATCCCTTTTGAAAACAATTTATGTGTATCTAGGTTGAAACAGTTGGACAAGTTCTTTCGATCTGTCTTTACGTTTAAAATGGTGATAAACTATTAGCTTATGTTAATATATTTAGATTATGTATTCTTGCACTCGAATTAAAACGTTAGATTTCACATATTTTGAAAAATAAAATTAAACGAATTTGTCTTTGGATCCCTTATTCAGATCCGATGAAATGATTATATCAAGAATTCCTAATCGAGTATTCTACAATGCCGCCAATCGAAGAAACTTAACATGTATTCAGAAGGAATTAATATGCTTTTTTTTAACAGATTTTTTATACGTCAAAAAATCTGTGTTTTTCTTTGAAAAGTTGTAGTATTATACCACATGCAACATGTTTCTATTTATAAGATAATCTTCAAGTTAGATTATAAGAAATGAACCAAAATTTAAAACAAAACACACAAGACTTACAACGGCGAGAAGTTCCTGACAAGAGAGAAACGCAAAAAAGCTAGTTCATGTCAATAACAACTAATAATCATCATCTAATAACTACAAAATCAAACAGTACACATCCAACGGATTAAGCGTAAAGACGTCATAAACAGTCAGGGAAATTATGATTTTGTGTTAATGTTTAATTGAGGTTGATGAAGATATTGGTAAACAATACCTCTTGGATGCTTACATAGAAACGTGAAAGGGCTTCTTTATAAAAATAAGAAGATTTGGTATGCTTGCCAATGAGACAACTCTCCACAAGAGACCGAATGATACAGACATTAACAACTATATGTAACCGTACGGCCTTCAACAATGAGTAAAACCCATAACACATAGTCAGCTATAAAAGGGCCCGAAATGACAAATGTAAAACAATTCAAACGATAAAACTAACGGCCTGACTTATGTACAAAATATCCATTTCCATTCTTTTTACGACTATGATGCTGACATGCCTAATTTGACTCACTACAGGCCTTACCCATAGGTTTTGCATGCAATTGTCTAACTTGTGGTTTTTAAAGCGCACATGCTTCTACACGTATATCGTTGTTCTTTTTTTTTTGTATCGTCTAAAATTGTCCTCAGAAGTTATTTCTTCTTGTCAGTTATTGAAAAACCTCTGAACACCACCAAAGATTGAAAATAAGTTAATGCGATTTAGAAACATATTGTGCTAGAAAAAATTGAAAAAAAAATGTAAAATATTTTTAAAGAATCGAAATTTTGCAAATATAAAAACATTACCACGAAACTAAGAGTGTTAAGTCATAATAAATCCTATCCCAAGCCAAAATGACCAAATACATTTCAATTCTCATACATTTTTATAAATGAATATCGATGAACATCGAGTAAGTGCTTTCATGTTCATCTCTAAATATCTTATGATCAAATAATATAAATCATATATCATGTACTGATAATCGATCAGAGGATATTTCATTTGAGTCATTATAATAACATGAACGCTGAATACTGATAATTATGAATACTATAATATTAGGTAAATACTTCAAATTCTAACAACACCACAAAACAAAAACCGAAACAACAAGACATCTGAAGTCTTTTACTTACTTGTTTGGTCTACATTTCAACCTAAATTGCAATACAGTTATATGATGCATAAGAACAATTTGAATTTGTTAGTTCCGTTATCTCATTTTATTTTATATCAATATTTGTATGTACAGATCCACCATCTATCAATATTAGATACCAAAATTTGACCGCAGAAGATAATAACAGGCAACTCATTTGTCAACCTCAAGGCAACCCAATCATCTATAAATTTTATCAATGGGAGCACCATTCAGCACACGGCGAGAAAAATTAGGTCTCTAGGCAGTGGTTTAAATGGAATTCTGAAAATCCCCGAGTTGGAACGAACGAAAAGATATCAAGACACTGGGATATACAAATGTTTTGCGGAAAATGGAATAGTTGACAAAGCAGGAAATAAGATTCAGTCAGGATCAGTTTTCTTTGTGAATGAGGGTAATAAATGAATTTGTTAATTTGATATAAAATGAATAAATGTTTTCCTTTGATTGTAAGCTATAGTGGACGAGTCTTACTTATAAATTACCAAATTTGGACATAACTTTATAACTGATATTGCATATGTCACATTAATTGCTTACTTTATTTTGTTGTGTGTGTTCATTTGATCAGAGTGTTGTCTATATATACATATATGATCAACGCAAAAAATGATTTTTATATAATATGTAAGACAACAACCCAGCAAAACAAAAAATAAAGACTACTAGAGGTTAATAAAATCTAGAAAATGGCCAGTAATATCCTTTAAAAGTGATCAACAAATCATAAATACTTCGATTTTAAATCTCGTCTTTACACACATTATGATTGATGTTACCGTTTGACCATAATTTTAACAGAAACTATCACACCATAACCGTGTAATATATTTCAAAGTTAAAGTTAAAAATATTCTCTCCTCACGGATTGTATGATATACTGCAATTAACTCATCTATCTGTCCTTTCGACCGATTGTTCTTCTGTTACTTTCATAACATATTTTACAGCGTTTCTATTAAGGCATCGTATTCTAAATCTTGTTGATTAAAACCGCGTAAGAGATTTTCTGAACTGACGGGCAATCACACCTAGTTTGACGATTCTCTAATTTTTCTTCTGAACATAACATTTGTCGTCAATGTCGAATAATGAATAGAGTATTATACTTTGCATTCTATGTTGTGCAAGTTCTTGTTATCAGTTCTGGTGCTTGTTCTGGATTTTAATATATAAAGACAGAAATAATCAGAATATTACATTGTTTGTTGATGGATAAAGTTGAATTTCTACGAATCATTTAAGCGTATTGAAATTTATAAATGAGTGCAATTTATGAAGTACAAAGAAGCAGTTTGACATCATTTATCAGATTTTAAAAGATGCAATAATTTCTAGAAAACGGATTTCTTATCAAACATGACATATTTTGAGTAAGGTTGTCAAGGTTGTTGGCAATTTGAAAACAAATTATGACAAAATAGAAATTGTATGTGCTTTCTTTAAATACACAGTCAAGTAGATAAGACTTCGCAATCAAAAAGCAACCATTTCTATACATGTTGCCATCAACCAAACAGAGATGATATGTAAAGACGCTTTTTTGGGCCCTTGATTTCGAAAATATAAAAAGGGGTTATTCATTTATCAATCATCATCATTCAGATGTTTATTAGTCATGAGTGGCACATATCAATATTTATAATTGGAGCTGTTTTTAAAAATGTTTGCATTAATGCTTCAAATTCTTACAGTTATTGCAAAAATGTCAAAAAATCAATAATAAAACCATCATGGAAAAAGTTCTTGAAGACCTGACAAATTACCATTCGATAAACATTTAACAAAAACTGATGTATAGACTATATCTTTTTGGAAAATAATCTTTTTTTTTAAATATACAAATGATCGTTATCAAACTGAACTCTTACTTAATTTCTTACAGAAGTGATCGATGTCCTTATTTTAACTGTACATTTTGCACCAATTTTGATATGCATTAGTTTCCAACAATGTCTCAGATTTTTAGCAATGCTGTATTTCTATAGGTTTAAATGGTTTTTAAGGGTATGTTGAAGCCTTATATATAAAAAGTTCTCTGTCAGTTATTTTCTACAAATGCTCATAAATTCATATATTCATATGACTGACCTAGAACGGAACAAATCAAAATTACCTGTTTCCTAGGTAACTAACAGATCAAAGAGTGACTTATTTTTTTCAACATAAACATATACAACCTTATCATGTGGAATTTGATATTGATCGATTTCTTTCAGGGCGGCCACAATTATCCATTTATAATATTTCGGAACAGTTTTGCAAACTTGGAAGTGTAGGATCACTTGTTGTAAAATTTACGAGCTGGCCTCCACCACTTAATCTAACTTGGTTGAAATATGAAGACAATCGTAATTTTAACCTTCAAGCTTCAGAAAGATACACAATGACTGAGACAGCAGCAGTTATTATTGATTCCTTCCATGATAAGAAGATCCATGTAGATGGATACATTGGAATACTTCACATAAATGAAATTACTCTGAATGATTTAACAAACTATACCGTACAAATTCAAAATGAATTTGGGATCGAACTATTCACCTTTTTCCTTCATGACATCCCTAAATCTCAAGGTATGTTCGTTTTTATTTCATATCTTACATTTGACTGTAGGAATAAAAGTTTTTATTTTTAGTATAAACGTGACAAAATGATATAGTACATAGAAACCGACGATTAATTTAATGATAAAACATGGTTAAATGCACAGGAAATTCCACTCAAAGTATTTATGAAACAATTTAATATGCTATATCAAAAAAAAGATTTGTTGTACTGGTCAATGAAACAACAATACAAGGACACAAAGAACCAAAGTTAATCCAGAAACTAACAACCAGTCTTCCCCAATAAACAGGTGTCTTTACATTTGTCTGGACCTATATCATGTTCTAGTGTACAACAGTTGTGAATAAAAATAAAACAGAAACTATTAAAGACTGCAGTGTTTTTCTCCTCTTCCATGTTTATGATTTGGAGGTATACGATGAATTTTCTTTCATTGTACATATTGATTTTAGAAACATAATTTCTGATTTGTATTTAACAGATTATCGAACCAATGATAATGGAGATAAAGGCTTATTTTACGGAGGTCCTGCAGTGATATTAGGTGTTTTGTTCATAGCTGCGGTTGTGATCGCTTTGTTTATTGTTTGGAAAAAAAATGTAAGTTTTAAAAAAAATTGAAAAATAAACAATGTAAATATCATAAAATCATAGCATTAAATCAGATATAACAATATTATAGTATAATACAAATATGAGAAGCAAACCTGATAAACTTTACCTTTCATTTCAATGACTGAAAAAGGACATGAGGTACAATTACTTCAGAAAGTCCATATCGAACGTGCTATTTAACAATTGTTGTATATGATTCGAAGTCACAATAGAACTATTGCAGACAATCAAACAGAACTATTGATAAACTATTTTCTTCCAATTTTTCTAGCTCATTGCAGTTATTGCAGATCAAGACAGAAGACATATGCTATGAGCGGTAACTATATAAGAAAAAATCGAACAAAATCTACAAACGAAAACATAAATGTGTGAAAAAACAATCAATATGACCATACTTTTGTATAAGTATGTACAAAGTAATATTAGGATGCTAATACGTCCTGAAGTGATTGTAAGTTTTCAATTTATATTGTTTACATGTAGGTCATTGAACAAATCTTGCCATGCAATAAAAAAATATAAAGAGTTGCTGCATGTAAATAAAGCATTAATGAATATAAAAAAATAAGTGAAAGTGAAAATAAAGCTTGTAAAGGTGAAAGAGAGGCGATGGATACCAAAGGAACATTCCAACTCACAAGTCGAAAATAAACTGACAACGCCATGGCTAAAAAGAAAAAGACAAACAAACAACAGTACAAAAACAAACATAGAAAATGAAATAACGAAAGAAGAATTTACGAATAAGAAAGTGAACCGAGCTTAACCTAAAATATATTTTAACAAAATGTAAATGGGGGTATGCCGCATACGGCAGGGTCAAATCTCATTAGTCAAAATAGTGTCTTCTATGAAGCAAATGGGATCAAATTGTGCCTTTATCAATTGATAAGGAAATCTTTTGATAGTACGGAAACTTTGTATTCAAACCAACATAGTCGTTTGTATAAAAGAAATATTAAACATAATTAAGGAAATACAACTTACAATAGGAAAAATAATAACTAATACACATTGCTTTCAAACTTTGATAAAATAATACATATGTGTTTGCCTTTAAGAAGTATTGCTGATAATTCAATTAAACTTAAACCATTGCAGTCACCGTTACTAAAATGAAAATAAAAACTTTATTAATTTGATGTGTCCAAAGCGCTCTTCCCGATTTTCTAAAAATGATACAAAATTAATAAACGATCTGATATATCCACTATTTCAAATGAAACGTACAAACTGGAAAACAAAATATAATTTTATCTGATTTTGATTTTAGAATTAAACGTGTGATGATGAAAACTATAAATCTTAGACGAGAATAGCAAACCAATTTTAGAGTTAACCAATATGTAGTCGTCTATAGACGACAAAGATTAGTTATAGATTTTTTTTAACAAAAATTGATATTAATTGCAAAACAATTTTTTGTTTGATTAATACGAAAACTCTAAAGATCACCGACTTAAAAAAAATAATTATCCTTTTTGTTACTTTGTTAGTGTTGTCTAATTATTTTTATTGAACAGGATTAACTTAAGAAAACGTAATTCTTATTTAAAGTGTTTTTTTTTCTGTTTAACATTCATAACCCCATAAGACACTACATATTTACAAGACATGAAATCATATACATATAAATCGAATTTAATTGGTGTTTTGTTATTGGAGTTTTATTTTACTGTAGATAATGATATAAACTACAAACGACAGGGTAGTATTACAGAGGGTGTAGCAGATGTCACATACTGTAAGTATAAACAGCAGTTTCACTAAAACAGCTACTTAGCCAGGATTTGTTGGGTTTTTTTCTCTGTTGATAAGAGTTGAGTCTCTTTTTTCAAGGGTATACAAATCAGGAGTAGTCGCAAATAATAATGCATTAAAATTTAACGCGTTGTTTCTGAATCCAAACTTCGTGGAAAATTACATCATTAAATCGGTTACGTGAATTTGAAAGAATGTAGAACAGAAAACGAACATTTTGGATATCTATGCACAGAACATCTACTGCGGGGACATTTATTTCAAGGGAGACTGTCTATTTTTCCATATCAATTAATTCGCATATGACAGTAATTCGTATAGCGGATGTACGGCGAGAATAGTTGCACTACCATGTTGCATTAAGAAATCAGTGCGACGTAATTTAGCGCCAATGAGATAAAGTGGATCAGCAGCATTTGAAAACCGGGTTTTTCATTTTTAGTTAAAAAAAGAGCACATGGATCTGCATTTATTTCTTTTGTAAAATCGACCATGAACTACTTCAAAAACGTTATTTCAAAATTGCAAGAAAAAAATCAACGGAGTTGTTTAGTAATTAGGGGGCAAAAAGGGGTAAAAAATAAGCATTTTTCATGTTTCAGGACAATGATTTCCCAAAGGAAAGTTGGGATTGATTTTGGGGGTCATGGTCCAAACTGTTTAATTTTAAGGGGCCGAAAAGGGGCCAACAAACTAGGATTTTCTGGTTTTTGGACAATAACTTGAGTATAAGTCTATTTATTGCTATTTAATTGTGCCACAAGGTGTTATACCATAAAACAAAGTTTGGGGTTGATTTAAGGGGTCATGACCCTAACGGTTTAGTTAAAAGGGGCCAAAAACAATACTTTTGTAATGCTTTGTACAAATTGCTTATTTCTTTGGCAATTTCAATGGGGTTTAATTCAAAAGTCTTGAATTCTTAGGGTTCTTTAATATGCTGAATCTAATTGAGTATTTAGAATTTGGATTTAGGGTCTGTTTTTGAAATGATTCATATCAAGATCCAAAGGGTCCAAAATCAAACTTTTTGTTTGATTTCTTCAACAAATAAATTATTGATGTTCTTTCATATGCTGAATCTAATTGTGTATTTAGATTTTTTTCATTTTGAGGCTTGTCTTCAAATTGGTCCACATTAATGTCCAAAGGGTCCAAAATTGAACTTTGATTTTAAAAAAAAATGAAGTCTTGGGGTTCTTTGATATGCCGAATCTAAGCGTGTATTTAGATTTTTGTTTTTGGGCACAGTATTCTAGATGGTCTAAATTGGTGTCCAAAATTAAACTTTGTTTGGTTTCATAAAAAATGAATTATTGATGTTCTTTGATTTGCCCAATCAGTGTTTTAGATTTTTGATTTTTGGCCCGGTTTTCAAATATTGTCCAAATTGGGGTCCAAATTTTAACTTTGTCTGATTTCATCAAAATTCAAATTATTGGTGTTCTTTGATGTGCCAAATCTAACCGTATTTTAGATTTTTGATTTTAGGTCTGTTTTTCAAACTGGTCCACATTAAGGTCCAAAGGGTCAAAAATCAAACTTTGTTTGATTTAAAAAAAAAATGGATTATTGGTGTTCCTTGAAGTGTGCAATCTAACAGTGTATTTAGATTTTTGTTTTTTTGGGCACAGTATTCTAGATGGTCTAAATTGGTGTCCAAAATTAAACTTTGTTTGGTTTCATAAAAAATGAATTATTGATGTTCTTTGATTTGCATCAAGTTTTCAAGTTGGTTCAAATCGAGGTCCAAAATTAAACTTTGTTTGATTTCAAGAAAAAATGAATATATGGGTTTCTTTGATATGCTGATTCTAACCACGTATTAAGATCTTTGATTTTGGGTTCCGTTATCAAATTGGTCCACATGTGCACATTGAGGTCCAAAGGGTCCAAAATTAAACTTTGTTTGATATCGTCAAAAACTGATTTCTTGGGGTTCTTTGATACTCTGATTCCAACCATGTATTTAAATTTTGGATATTGGACCATAATCGGTAAATGTCCCATTTCATATTACCTAAGAACTTAGACCACTTTCATTCTGTGTCAGAAACTATGCTATATCAAATATTTAATCATAACTGTATTGCACAATTGATAGAAATTATAAGTAGTCATTGTTAAAAATAGATATAGCATCATATAGTTTGAAATTTACTGTTCATTATTAGATTATAAAATGGTTTAGTAGAGCTGTAAATTTGTCATCTCATGCTGATAAAGGGACAGATAATATTACTTAACAAACAGATGTTTAAAACAAAAAACTGAGCTTGTTAATATGGAGGAAGATTATGTCCAAATTCTGCTATTACCACTCCAGGACAGGAACAATAAAGATAATTGAAATTTTGTTTATTTTAACATTCTCATAACTAATCATTTTGATTATTTTGTATTTCTTTGTTTTATATATTTCAATGTATTTCATGAGGGCCTCAGGGAAGATTAGTTTTACAGCTAACTGTGTAACCCTCTTTAGATAAGGAATTATTATTATATGTATTTTTATTATTATTTAGAAAAAAAGAAAAAAAAAATTACATTTGTAATTTACTAAATATTCAGACCTACACACAGCCCACAAATTGAAAAGTTTTAGACAACTACTATTGAGATAAAACCAACATGAAACTTAAGTGGCTGTCAACATTCATTCAATAAAATTTGTCATATTTGTAATTTTATCAGTAAAATTGACATAACACAGGATGGTTCAGAACTGTTACTAGCTACAGTGATAATTTCTGCATCCTTTGTGATAAAACTGGTCATGTGCAAAACATGAAATACAATTTCAGGTGTATATATAATACACATAATATACATAAAAGAATTTAATTACTTTTTGTTAGAGATGAAAAAAAATCAACAGAAAGTAACAGTTTGTTATAAACATTTCAACTAGTTTAAATAAATAAGAACATTTTAAAAGTAAGATAGAGTTATACAATTGAACATATATATGTTTCACGTCTGTATGACAATTTTCATCATCAAAGTTCATCTTTTCAGTTATTTTGCACTTACATGTATCACACAATTCAAGTTACTAAACTTAAGAACAAAACAAGGGGGGTTGAAAAATTAAAATAACATTTTCATTTAAATTTTACAAATGAATAAAAAAGCCATAAATATCAGGATTTACAATTTATTCTTTTAAAACATTTCACCAAGACTCTAGCAGAATCCCCTCCCACTCCACACGCACACATCCCTTATTAATATTTCAGGACAAATTTAATTGTTATTTTATTATTTAGTCATATTAGAAACAACATTCTAATTCAGAGCTGACCAGTCTTTGCAGTTACTCGTTATTGCTTCGTGCTTAGCAGAGAAGCAGCAAATACCAATCTTATTTTGTCTTGACTTATGAACCAGCCACCTCCCACCCTATTTGAATCACAATGTCCAGATTATAAATTCCATGATTAAGATTTCAGTGTTATATAAACAACCTGTTTGTAAAAGAATACAATTAATAAGCCTGAAAATAATTACTTCTCTACTTTCTTTCTTAGTTTTTCATAAAGTGAAATCTCCATCTATGACAAAAGCTGTAGTCAGGTAGTTTTTAAAGCAATTGCTTTAGTGCTATGGCGTATATCCATCTTTGTGACCAAGATCAAGCCAAAGTTTTTGAGCAGATTCCTCTTCTGTCATTCTAAAAATCCTATGTATGTTTTTTACTGAAATACATTTATTGAAACAGTTGAAAAACAACAGTGGGTTTGTGAAGTTTCAACATACCGTATAACGGGTTATTTTCGAGGGGTGTTTATTTTCGCTTATTTTGGCGGGTTAGGAGAAATGGCGGGTTAGGAGAAATCGCGAAAATAAATTCCGTGAAAATTTATGCATCGTTCGATACTTTCTAAGTAAAAGCGTTTTGTAAACTATCTATGTTTTCCCCGTTCGACGGATCAATCACGGTTTTTGATAAATTAAACAACATAAATGCCAATGGCCATTGTTTACTGGCTATCAGGTGTTAATTAGTTTATTGGTTACATAATAAAATAAATAATAATATAAGAGTGTAAGGTACGATGTCAGGTATCTTATCCTTATTAATTAGTGTCAAATTATATAAGAGCTGCAAGTCACTCATGATGATTTTATAATCTAATTAGTACATCAAAGGTCCGGTCAATTTCGTAACATTTAAAAGAAGTTTATACACCTGTGAAAAATCTATGTACCGGTATTCTATTGGTTAACTGTATCAAAATATAATAAATAAAAAAAATTATGCAGGAAAAACAATCATTTAACCATAACAATAGACTCTTATTTGTCAATTTTTACAACTTTTTAACTAGAACCATTTCAGTATCCGCCAAAATATTTAATTGGGATTAAAGAATCCGCCAAAATAAAAGCCGCCAAAATGTTTCGTATACTTTGTTGCCCCTAAATCGCGAAATTTTACACCCGCGAAAATAACCCGCTATACGGTATGTATTTTTGTATTTAAGGGGACAACCGTTTGACTATCATAGAACGTAGAAGTCCGAGAGAAAAGTGCATTTTTATACCTGCAATTCATTCTTGAGATGTTTCAACAAAATATCGAATCATGTCAGTTGTTGATTTAATATTGAAAATTCTACTTAATTCTCTTGTACACATCTTGTTTAATTCGTGTTTCTTTTTGAAAGAGGTCAAATCGCTCTTGTTCATTCATAAAGTTATCGTTCATTCATAAAATTATCGTAAAATCACTATACGCACGTTATATTAATGTAATCTAATCTCACGTTATTTGTTTTAAAAGTTGCACCGTTTACATGTTCTGATTACACTTACCATGTTTTTAATACTTGCATGAAATAACGGAGCCTGTCATTTATTAAGGGCTTCCTTAATTGCTGATTGATACTGATAGACTCCACTATGTAAACAAATGATATAATGATCAACTGATTAAGGTTACTTCTCGAGACAGTTTCAAATGTCATAATGTCTAGGCAA